TTTTTTTGGCAAAAAAATTTTTTTTTTTTTTTTTTTTTTTTTTTTTTTTTTTTTTGACATAAAATTTTTGCAATTTAAAGGATTGAAAAAATTAATAATTGTGAAAACTATTAATTATTTATTAATAAAAGAATTAATCGTATTTATTAAAACAACTTGTGATTGTAGAATTTCTTCCTTAATTATTTTGGTGAAATAAGTATAATTATAATAAGTAAATTCACCTTATTATTTTTAATCTCTGGTTATATTTTTTTACATTGATTTAGATAATAAATTTTATTATGATTATATTTTTTTTTATAGCTAAAAATATTTGCAGTTATGTGAAGTTAAGTGATTTCTGTAGAATGACCCATAAATTCTTGCATTTGTTTTTACACTAATTACATTTGAAGTTGCAATTTTTCAAGTATATTTATACATATTGATATAAAATTTTAAAATTTTATAAAATGCCTATTGAAAAAATTAAAGCTCGGCAAATTTTTGATAGTCGCGGTGAGCTTACTATAGAAGTTGACTTAATTACGGATTTCGGACTTTTAAGATCTTCTGTATCATGTACTCCTTCATCGAATCTAAACGAAGCGTTAGATCTTAGAGATAACAATGAATCAATATTAAATAATGATCGTACAGTGATGAAAGCAATTGAAAATATTAACAATATAATCGCACCAGAATTAATAAAGAGTCGATTAGAAGTTTGTCAGCAACGGGAAATAGATTTACTCATGAAAAAATTGGACAGCTTAGACAATAAATCAAAGCTTGGAGCCAATGCTATTATAGGAGTATCGATGGCTTGTTGCAAAGCAGGTGCTGTTAAGAGAGGCGTTCCTCTTTACAGATATGTAAGTTTATTAGCCAATACTGAACCAATTATTCCAGTTCCTATTTTCAATGTTATTAGTGGTGGAAAATTAGCCGGAAATTCTCTGAGTTGTCAAGAATTTATGATAATGCCAACAGGTTTGATTGATATAATTGGTAGTGCAAAAATTTGCTTGGATTTTCTGAGCTGAGATTAAATTTGGTTGAATTATTGATCATTTTCAGGAGCTCAATCTTTTGAAGAAGCTATAAAAATGGGGATAGAAGTGATGAAAGTGCTTGAAAAAATGATTGCCGAGTCGGAAGAGTTAAAGCTTCCTTTAACTGTTAGTGATGATGGAAGCTTCTCTCCTCAACTTGAAGAGGATACGGAAGCCTTAAGTATGATTGCAGAGGCTATTAAAGCTGCAAATTATGAGGGAAAAATAAAAATTGCTATTGATATGTCGGCAAGCTCTTTTTGTAAAGATGGTAGTAATACTTAATTTTATTCTATGTAGTAGGGAGGCGTAAAAAATTGACTGATTTTTCTTATAAGTATCCAAAATTTTTAATGGTCACTAAAGCTTTCTAAAAATGTTGGATCAATTAAGAAATAATGTATTAATTTATTTATTATATTAATCAATTATTTCTTAAATCAAGAAATTAAAATTTTTGGAAGGGAAGAAAAGTCTTCAGAAGAATTTTACTCTAACGGTAAATTTTATTGAATTCAAACTATACCTTTTTAAAACATGTTGAATCACATATTTCATTTTTTTACCATTTTGAATGAATAATCTAAGTTCTTGAAACAAAAATATAAAGTTCTTATAAAAGAATGAAATTATTGTTAGATTTGAAGAATTGTCCTTGAATAAGGAATTTAATTGAAAAATTCAAGGCAACAGGAAAGTCTTGGGTCAGAAAGATTAGTAATAATAAAAATCATAACTTTTAATGATTTTGGAAATTTTTACAAATTCAGGACCCCTAGAAAAATTTTTTTTGAACAATGGAACTTTTTGAAAATTAGTTAATGTCAAGTTCTAATGGAATAAATATTAAGGTAGCACAAGAAAAACGACTTTCTTTTTATTTTCAAATTTCATACACGCTCAGAAATTTTGTGGTAACAATAACTATTGTTAATTTTAATGATTACCACATTAGATAATAATTTAACTATTATTCATTTTGATGTTGATTAAAGTCGGGAAAGATAACTATTGCCATTCTTGAATAATATTAATTATTATTTGAAATAGTAGTAATCACAATAGAATATAAATAAAAACTAATAAAAGGTTATTCGAAATTTTTTCATCAATTTAAGAAAAATCATATTTTGAAAAAAATTTCTTTCGCTAGTAAAAAAAAATTTTTTTTCACCAGTACAAAAAAAATTCAAATTTCGAAATAGTAATTTTCTTGCACTATTATACTATTAGAACCTAATTACGTCGATTTTTGAAAAAAAAATTCAACTCGTGCGACAACCCAATTTTATCCTGTTGCTACTATAAGATTTTCCAATTGCTACAACATGATTTTACCTGTTACTGCCACATGACTGTATCATGTTGCAGTAACTATTTTTTTCCGTGTGGAATGATAATTTATCTTAAATCAAAATAGTTTTTTTTATCAGTGTGACATTTTTTACATGAAAAATATCATAAATTTTGTAAATTTCAAGTTGATTATCCCACCCTACTATTTAATTAGAAATAAAAATATTCTTAGCAATTGTAATAAGTGATTTTTACAATATTTTTCAAAGGTCAATATGATCTTCAATTCAAGTCAGAAGATACAGACCCTGATGATTATTTGGAAGCAGAAGCTTTAAATGAAAGATATCTCGAAATGTTGTCAGAGTTTCCTCAGTTGATATCAATTGAAGATCCATTTGATCAAGAAGATTGGGATAGTTGGTCTCTGTTGTCCGATAAAAAAATTCAAGTTGTAGCAGATGATTTAACCGCAATGAATTTTGAGCGGATTGAGGAAGCCACAGAGCGAGGAGCAGGAAATTGCTTAATAATAAGATTGCCTCAAGTCGGGACTATTACGGAAGCTATCGATTGTTTCAAGCTGGCAAGATCAAATGGGTGGTCAACTATCGTGAGTGTAGGTTATGGTGAAACTGAAGATAATTTTATAGCTGATTTTGCAGTTGGGTTATCTGCAGGGCAATTTAAAGCCGGTGGACTCTGTAGAGGAGAGAGAATGTCGAAGTATAATCAAATTCTAAGGATTGAAGAAGAACTCGGTAAAGGAGCTAAGTATACTGGAGAGATGTTTAAGAATCCACTGTCATCAATTAATCAATCAGATAATGATCAAAAGGATGAGAAAAAGAAAAAGAGAAGAAAAAAACTTTAAAATTTTGTTTATTTTGTTAATCTACTTACCGTCTCCTGTACAATAGAAGCCATTAAACTTATCAAAATATGTTGTTTGGAAGCGCTCATGATTTCCGTAAAGCGATCTCATCATACCAGGCCAAGGTTGACGGAAGACTAAGTAACCCTCACCTTCGCCTTCTATTATTTTACCATCTTCGTCTAAGAGTTCTGGAAGTACACCGAAGAATGGGAATGACTGAAAAATAAGTATATATGTTAATATATAAAAAACAATTTTTTTTATAAACATATTTTTATTTAATTGTCAACGCATAACAACAGGGTTGCGAATAATTTAACTAAAAAATCGAACATTTCTTATTTTTAAGATAAAACTAATAATTTTAATTGTTTGAATTATTTATCTCTCCAGAAATTGGTAATTTATGATTTTTTTCTGAAAAATTAGGATACTAAACTATTTAAATTCTCAATTTTTGTAAAAACTTATTAGTTAAATTTTTCTAATAATTAATATTTTAAGGAATAATAAGATTAAATTATTAAAATTTTCGAATAATGCAATAATTAAATTTCTTAAATTAATCAACTAAAAAAAATAATTAATTATGTTAATTTTTTAAATGAATTTATTTAAAAATGATTAAATGACAATCATTTTCACCTAACCATTCATAATTCAATTATCAATAAAATAAAAAATGAATTTTTTGCGACCCTGAATGATAAAAATTTTTTCAAAGATTTGCCCATCATTTACAAAAAAAAAACAACTTTCAATATTATACTCACTGCTGATCCAGGCTTCATTGGAGTAGCTCCAGGAAGTGGTGTTACAACATGTCCACCAGTTTCTGTCTGCCAAAAAGTATCCACTATACTGCATTTACCATGGCCAATCAAATTGTAAAACCACAACCAAGCCTCAGAATTGATTGGTTCTCCAACTGACCCAAGGACCTAAGAAAAAATAATTTCGTAAATTTCAATTTGCATAAGTTAAAAAAAAGGTAATCTAATGAGAAGTATACCTTTAGAGAATCAAGGTCGTATTTCTTCACTAAGTCATCGCCAAATTTCATTAAGCTCCTAATGGCGGTTGGCGCTGTGTAAAATTGCGAAACTTTATACTTATCGATGACTGACCAGTATCTGTCGTTTAGCGGATAAAATGGCGTTCCTTCAAACTGCAAACAAAACATTTAATTAAAAACTGAAGTATATAGGTCATGCTGAGTTGCAAAGTTCAAAATTAATAGCTTATAATATTACTTACCAATACTGAAGTTGCACCATTAGCTAATGGACCGTACACTACATATGTATGACCTGTAATCCATCCAATATCTGCGGTACACCAATAAACATCATTTGGCTTATAGTCAAAAACATATTTGAAGGTCGTTGCAGCGTATATCAAATAACCAGCAGTAGTATGAAGAACTCCTTTTGGCTTTCCAGTTGATCCACTTGCAAATTTAATATTACATAATTATTATTAACTAAAGTGATTTAAAATATCTTAGATCCCATGAAAAATTTCGTATTTTTTTTTTAAACATCCTATTATGTACGTTCGTACCTGGTGTAAAGAATGAAAAGAGGGTCTTCAGCTGCAACCCAAACGGGATAACAACTAGAGTCAGCATCTTCCATTTCTTCATGCCACCAACAATCACGATCATCATCCCAAGATAAATTTACGTCACTGCTACTTCCGTTGCTAGTGGCATTTTTGGTTTTACCTGAAATTAATCAATCAAACAGCTTTAATAAAAAATTAGAAAAAACGATAGAGAATCGATTTACGTACCGTAAATCGAAATTCGTTTCGAAAGCGAAAAGTTGCATTCTCACCCCCATCTGATGTGTTGCCTGGAGGACAGGTTACTCGGCGAAGATGTGAAATAACGATGCAGGATTCCACATTGTGCCCATGAGATTTAACTTTATCCATTGCCTGATCACAGATTGCTTTTAGGTGGAGTAATTTTGAGCCACGCCAAGCACCATCTGCTGTCAATAAAACCTTGGCTTTTGAATCCAATACTCTTTCCGCCAATGAATCCGATGAGTATCCAGCAAACTAAAATAATATTGGTTAATACAAGATTTTTATTTTTAATATTATTCATTTTACAACTTACAATTACACTATGGACGGCGCCGATTCTAGTACAAGCAAGCATTGCGATCGGCAATTCCAATATCATTGGCATGTAAATTGCTACTCGATCACCTTTTTGAACACCTTTGGATTTTAGAACGTTGGCAAATTTACAAGTTTCTTCAAGTAGTTTTCGGTAGGTCAATCTTGAATAATCTTCAATATCATTTCCTTCCCTGAAAAATTTTAATAAACTTAATTAATAAATAATATACAATTTTTTACAATCAACAAAAAAAGAACTTTTATTTTCTTCATTTTTTTTTATTTATAACCTTAAAGACAGAAATCAAAACTCATGATTTAATTATAGAATACGTCATGGTAACAATTTATTAAAATTTCTCCGCATTATGTGTTACATTTTTCGTTAAATAATTTACGTTAAAAGATTGATCCATGTAGAGTAATTAATCATTAACTTGAAAAGTAGAATTATTAAGGGCTCAACGTCAGAAGATAAATGTCAGAAGACTAATATAATGACTGAAAGTAAAATAAATAACGAACCCGGTCTGAGGAGGCCGGGCGTATCAACTATGGATTATAAATTCAAAGAAAATTTTTCAAAAAAGTGTAAATTTTCAATTTCTTAATCTGAACTTCATTTATTTATATACTAAATTTTTTTCTAAATTGAGAGAACGGTAAAATGTGAAATTTTGAAAATAAAAAATTCGATTTCTAATTATGTTATTATCATCAAAAAATATTTCAAATAAAAGCATTGAAGATATAAAAACTTAATAAATTTTGATAAAAATCGAGATAAGTATGAATTTTTGTTATTTTTATATTGAAAAAATGTAGATCAAAATATTTTTTTACACAATTTTATTCGTGAATCTGCTATGATAAAAAAAAAGTTTTTTTTAATCTGAAAAAGCTAATTTTTCGATTTTTTACGGCCACAATTAGGCGAAGTTGCACCTATGAATTATTATTATTATTATTATTATGCAGAAATACATTTTGTATTGTAAAAGTTAGCCAATATTGGTATTAGTATGATTGCCTACGCGGCTTATAGAAACGAGGTATATTTGTTTACGCATATGATTTGGCGCGAGATACTACCGTGTTTCTTAATAACATTACACTCTTACTTACTATACACTTACTATTTATTTATAATATAATAATCTTTAAAAAAAATCCGGTTCAAATGATTTCAGTAAGTCTTTCATTCATAGTTTTTTTTTTTAACGATAAAAATTTTTTATTTTTAATATTGTTATATAAAAATATTATCAAAACTTATTTAAATATTTGAAAAACTTAACTTTCTAATTATAAAGTAAAAATAAAATAATTAACAGGTCGTATTACATCGTGTATTATTCTATAAGCTTGTGTAAGAGTTATTTGTGTCAAAAGTCAAGTTTTTTTTATGCATTGATAAATGAGTTTACTTATGTATTGTTATGTACATATAACCCAACGCGAAACTGTTTCCATAATCATTGTCATTATCATTTAAAGTCGTGAATTCTGACAGAAATACGAAAAAAATAACAAAAATACGATAGGAAATTTTTTTATAATTTTTAGTGTAACAACTACGTCATTGATTTTTTAAGTTACATAATTAATATTACAAATTTTATAGCAAATTCAAGATGATAAGACATTGACTTATGAAGAATATTTTTAATTAAAAAATATTTATCATAAAGTTGAATTTTTTCTTTTATTTTTTTTTCTCTGTAAATAAAAATATAAAAGCACGTATAATCGCATGTTATTATTCAGATCGTACGAGAAAAATTTTTATTTAATTAAAGTAGCGTCATACCCATTACAACAAAGTTAAGTAACTTTGCAAATAAAACTTGAGTGAATTAGCTATATGATTCCATTGTAAGTATTAGTAAATTTAAAATTCTTGTTGATATTTTTTCTTGGACAACTTAAGTATTCAGCAAGGTTAAAAGTACAATACAATTTTTTTTTTCAAAGATAAAATTTCAGCTGAAGATAAAATTGTCTTATAATGCTCAAAGTAATTTTCTTAACTTAAGAATGAAAAACTCTCAGGTAGATATACTAAACCTATTTATTTTAAAAGTTTAGGGTCTCCAGGTGTGCTTCAAAATGCATCTCGTACCACTTCTGTAACAGCCAATGGAGAAGCCCGAACAAAACATGCGTTCTTTTTAACCAATAACACGTTTTACGGTGTAGTAGTTGAGTCGTGGCAATCGAATTTAAAAGCATTCTCAGATAGAAAGTTCAATCATACAGATTAGGCACAGTATTTTCGTTTTGAGCGCTCACCTAATTTATTAAAGCTTGTGTCTATTAACTCGATACACACATTAAAAAATTGAATATGCTACTTTCTTTGCCTATCACTGTCAAACGTATAATAATTTTATTACTATACTATTATCATTGTTTTATTTTTTAACATTCAATTTAAGCAAGATTCATTTTTTTAGCTATTCGAATATTTCTGTTATGGCATTTGCATGATATTGTGTCATCTTAATAAATATATATCTATAAAGTCAATTATGCGAACTGATAATTATTACAATTTTCCTGCATAATTTACTTTATTTAAATTTCATTAAGTCCATAAAAAATTAACTTAGCAAGTCAATTATACGTCTTAAAAATTTTTAACAAAATATTAAGTTAAATTTTAAAGAAAAAGAATTATAAATTAAAAAATTAATTTGTAAATAAAAATAAACGTTGGTAAAAAAAAATTTTAATTAAAAAAAAAAATTTTTGTTTGTAATTTATTACCGTTGTATAAGTTAATTTTTGAAGCAACATTAATTTGATTTTCCATTTTTTATTATCTTTAAAAATTCTTAACTAACAAAATAAAATTAAAAATTTTTAAGTAAGGTAAGAGCCCCAGTAGCTGCTCAGGAACCCCGTACCTGCTCGCTCTATGTATTTTTAGTAAATTTCATAAAAATCTAACTATTGCAGCCGTCCTCATGGCACAACTTTTGAAAAATTTAGTCATTTTCTGACTCAGTTTGGCGAGCTGAGTCAGAAAATGTATATAGTTCAAAAGTTTATATATATATATATTTATACGATATAACGCGGCTTGTCAGCACGATAACGTTTTCAATTTATAACCGATTCTTCTCAAACTCAACATGCTTCATCTATCGATCAAGACCAAGGTTAAGTTCGAAGATGAGCTTAATTGGGCGAGTAATTTGGAAATGACAGGATTTCGAAATTTTGAAAATCGTAATAATTGATGTTTTTACTACTTCAATTTGGTATAATTACTGAAGTATACAAGATATCAAAATTCTGTAAAATGCATCGTAAAGCTCTTTTAATAAGCTTCAATTTTCACTACTCAGAAGTGGTAATAGCCTCAATATTACCCCTTTTAGAGTTCGTTAAATGAAACAGTTTTACTGTTGCAGCCGTTTTAGATTTTTTTTTTTTTTTTTTTTTTTTTTTTTTTTTGTATACTATCCTAGTAGTTTTTTTCTCTATTCATCATGAAATCTACTCCCATTTCGGCTGCCGAATGGCCATTTTTATATCTGCATTTGTAAATATAGATTGCAAATACATGGATTGAGCAGGTACTGAGTACTGGTTCCTGAGCAGGTACTGGGGCTTTTACCTTAATAGTAAATTAAAATAACACCATAATTTGTTCAAAAATTTTAAATGATAATCGGCACTGTTAGAAATTTATTTTATGTGCTGCATTTTTCTATTTCCAACATTAAATTAAAGTCATAAATAAAAAAAATAGCGTTCTAGAATTGAAAATTTTTTTGACATTTAAGATTTTTTTTTCGATTTCTCCTATTGCTGATAGATTTTGAGTTTTTGCCAAAAAGCTAAGTCCCCCTTTTTTCGTTTTGTCTTGATAACAATTACAATTTTTAATAAGGAAACCATCTTTATCCTTCTGTTTTATCAATTTTACACATGTAATTTTCTGCTGAATTTCATAGAAATAAATTAATTATCCATGACACCGAAACAAAAAGTGGTTATATCCATTTTAAAGTGATCGATTTTGTTAATAATTCAATATATAGTTTATGAACTACTGTGTGGTCTGTACATTTTGGTTTTACACCAAAGAAAATGTTAACATGACGTGAGAATAAATAGAAATTTTTGGTTTTACTCAATGTCATATTTTAAAATCGTAATTAATTACGCAAACCAGTTAGTATCTTCGAATTTAAGTTTAAAGTACTTTTAATTTCTCACAGAAAAAAATATTTACTAGAATAAAAAAAAATTTTACTTCGATATTTTTAGTTCTATATTGAGAAAAAATTTTTTTTTGTTAGAGTTATAAAATAAAGTATACGAAAAATAATGTTTACTTATTGATTAAAATTTCTGAATACATACCAATAAAATGCAATTTTGTCGCCATTTCCACATTTTACGTTTTTATCAAGGAGATTAAAACTAATATTCGTAGATGCGCCTTCCATCCACTTGATAAAAATATCACCTTCGTTACGGTTAAAATTGTAAGAAAAAAATTTGTCGTTGGACGAAGTCGTTTCCCAGTAAAATTGTTTCGCTATTTCACTCCAAAATTCTTCCGGCTGCTTTATAGATCTATAAAAAAAATAATTGTTCATAATAAATGTAAAAAAAAAAAGTCGAAAAAGTCTCGTTCTTAATTACTGACATATGATTACTGATTTAACAGATATCTGACAATTTTTACGATTTTTTGGTATCAAATAAAAATATGTTTACATGTAGAATTTTTTTTATCGATAGATAATTTTTTAGAAATATTTTTTTATTAATGATAATCAATTTTCTAGTTGGTCAAATGATTGCTGATTTCATAGCATCTTGATTCATGATACTTTACGAGTTAAAAGTAATTCTAACTTTTAAAGAAATGGTATGGATGGAGATATAGTACGAAAGATCGATTTTGTTATTCTATTTTTGTAACTTATCAATTAACTTACAATGACCGCGAGACTATATTTAAGAATTAAATAATCATTATATTTTTTAACACGTTTTAACCGGAAATTTAAATACAGTTGGGTAAGTCTCAATGTATTCGCGATAAATATAAATACTTTTAGCACTGAATGAAATATAGCAGCTTAGTTCTTTAATAAGTAATATTTTTTTTTTTTACTATAAGAAATAATTTTAATGAATAAAATAATTCTTAAAATAAAAAAATAAAAAATAATTGAATACTCACTTTTCATGCATTTTTTTGTACTGATCCATACTATTACAGTACGCTGTTTTTGCTAGCTCAGCATTTGGATAATATATCCTGTCCGCCATGTTCGCCACCCTCAATTTAAATATATTCACTCACAAGTATTTATTATCTAAAACCATAAAATTTTTTATTTTTTATTTGATATTTAATAATAAAATTTTTTGAATTAAAAACAAGAAAAAAACAAATATATAAAAAAATAATTCTTTAAAAATGATCTCCGGCAATCTTAAATCGAAACAATTAACTGTTAATCATTATCAGTCTTAGAATGACAATTTAAAAAAAAGAACATTGTTAAATTATAATTCAGCGCACTGGACTAGAAGTCCGAATGAGTCAGCTGGTCAAAACATTTATATTATATACGTTTATAATGACTATTAAAAAATAATTAAAAGTATATATTAAGAACCGAGTCGTGTTATAAATTTATTGTGTGGATTTAAAATATTTATGAGTAAATATAGTTTCCCGATAAATCTACTTCGAACGAATGAAATTTAAATTTACCTGGAGTATATTTGACACCACTTACGATGGTGGAGTGCAACTGAGTGCACTAACTCTAATACAAGAGAGAAAGTCCAATCCGGAGTTGAGCCCAGTCTAACGTAGAGTTTTTAAATGCTGGTGGGGAGAGTGTCGTAGCGATCGATACACGTGGTAGAGAGGTTTACTGGGTGTAATTTAAGTAATATTATAGTTGTGACCTTTTATCAGGAAATATTATTTTTTTTAAATGTTATTCTGTTTATATTGCAGTACGACACTATCAAAAAAATTTTTTTTTTTCAGAAATAATTCAAAAGCTGAATTCCTTTCCATTTTGAGCATAAAAAAAAAATCAGGAATCGATTTATTTAAAATTTTTTTTCTGAAAAAACTAATTATTCTTTGCATTTGAAACTGTACTTCTTGATTGATCATCTAAATTCAAAATTTTACGGTAATTGTTTAGTTTTACGGTTCACAATATGTCAAATCTATAAAAATGATATTTAGAACTTTTTTCAATAATCTTATATTTTGTTGTCGAAGTTAATAAAAACAGGAATAATTAAAAAAAAATTTTTTTTTTTAATGATTGAAAAATCGAAAAATTAACATCTTATAAAATTTATTTTTACAAATTATTATGATTAATACTTTTAAACCCTCTGAAATAGAAAAATTTTAACAAAAAAAAATGTTACAAAATGATAACTTTTCAATTTTTTGTATTACAAAAAAAAGTGACCAAAACAAAATAATAAAACTCACTCATTTTAGAAAACTGATAACGGTTGACATAAAATGTTTAATAGATTGAAAGTATAAATTTTCAAAAAACTTTCTGATACCGAGAATTTAAACTATAAAACAACTTTTAATAAAGTTTTAGAAAAAAAAATAGATATACTCAAAAAAATTTATATATTAAAATTTCTTTGAAGAACTGCATCTTTTTATTTTTAATACTTATTATATAGGTTGAATTAACTAATCAATATTCGGAGTTTTGTTATAACAAATTAGGTGTCTTAAATGCATTAGAAAAACGCTGATATAATTATCTGTATTTAAGAAAAAAAATTTTGAAGCAAGAAGACCATTTCTAAGACTTTGATTATCTTGAATCAAACAAAAGAGTTTTGAACAACAGGAATTCTTTTTTGAATCAAGGTAGTTGATTCCCTAGATGCATTTTTTTAAGATTTTTTAAAAATTTGAATAGATTGTTTAAATCATTACCCGTGGCAAAAATTTGAAGACTGAAAGAAATCTGCCAAAACTGTCAATTATTATTTTTGCAGGTTTAAAATTAATATAGAAAACTGTATCCAAATTTTTACCTTAGATTGAGTCTTAAAACTAAAAAATAATGGATATTACTTGAAATCTGCGAGCAGCCCTGTGGTCAGCGTCCCAGATTTTGGATTTAAAGGTTCCGTGATCGAGTTCCGCCTAGAGTAAATTTCATCTGTTTGGTTTTTCGGTTTTATTAATTAATCGTCTATTAATTCAATGATCATACGTATAGACCACGATGTAGTTAATCGATTATCATTGCGATTTCAATTATTAAAAAAAATATCAACAATAAACAAAATGTAAGCAGATACATAATATATTTAGAAAATTTATTATATTTAATTTATTAAGTTTATCATAAAAGGCGCCACTTAATTTTTCAAATTAAAACTGTAATAACAATGGAGTACAGCTCATTAATATTATAACCGCAAATGCAATCAATTACACAAAACTTTTATTAATGAAAATCGTTCCCGGACAGCCTAAATTGTCAACCTGTTTTGAAAGTGAATTACTTTTTTTTACCATCAAAATGAACTCTAAGTTCAACCTGATACTCCTGAATCATCAAATATTCGGAACTAGAAGGTTCAAATCATTTTTATCTTCAAATACAGTTTTCTATATTAATTTTAAAACTGCAAAAATAATAATCGATAGTTTTGACAGCTTCGTTCCAGTTTTCAAATTTTTGCCTCGGGACAGTTTTGGAAATATTTAATTTCGAAGTTTGCGTTTTCAGGACTCATATACATTGAACGTTTATACAAATATATGACAATAAAATATTAACTTGAATTTATGATTATAACGATGAAACCTTTCTAAAGATTTATTTAAAAAATGAAATTAACATTAAGGAACATGTAAGTAGTAAATTTGCAAAGAAGATTTGCTTAGTAGTTTTAAATAATAATAATACTTAAAAATATACTACCAATAAATCGGTAAAGTATTCGAAAATACTCATGAATAAAAAATGAATAAGAGAATAATAATTAGTATAAACTATACCATACTAAGCACGCTAAAGTATATATGAAGCAATTATCTTAAACAAAATTTTAGTATTTTTTGCTTGACAAAGAAATTCTTTAAAATAATTTCCTTGCTTTAAGATTTTTCCTTTTAATTGAATCAAATTAATTTTTTTATTTAGTTAATAAAAAAATGAAACTTCTAAAATAATTGATTTTTCGGTTATCTATCGTAGAAAATAGGGAGATTCCTACTTTCAAATAATTACCATCTTTTAATTTTTTACCGATGATGGTTCATATTATCGATCAAAAATTGAGGAAATTTCTTACATATATATAGTGCTACACGTACATGTATTCAAGTTATTATATCTACATATTCAAACTGACTTTTACTTGAGGTTCACAACAATCCCATCACTTTATCACTTATTACTTATAAAGATAAATAATATGGAATAATGAATTCAAAAACAATTATTGTTATTTCCAAAAGTCTAAAAAATGAGCTTCTAATAAATTTAATGTAGTTACAACTATATAAGATAAGAAAATGTTATAAAGTGAAAGGAAACAACGTTTAGAATAGGAGCATGAATTGATTAAACAATCACAATTCCAAGGATGTTAACATTCTATTCAATTTCAAGTGTAAAATTTTTTTTTATTTTCCTAATATGAATGAACATTTAATGATTTCGTAACCAGAGACAAAAACAAATGATTTATAAAGATAACAGTTATTCGAAATGTAATTTTACTGTACTGTATTATATATAACTCGATAGCTATATTTAGTAAATATTGAAATTTAAATTATGGTAATTGAGATATTTGAATAAATATATACATTATTGTTTTGATTGAGTTCAGTTTGTTCATATTCGATTCAACGATTTCAATATATGTATTTAGGTGATAAAAAAGCTAGAAATCCTACAGTTGAATTTATGAACAAATACCTGATCGTGGTTATAAATGATTTGATTTTATTATTCCGATAAAGAAAACATTTAGTAATGAATGGAAGTTTAATATTTTATAATGAATGAAAGTGTCATACTAGTAGCGATTATAATTTTTTGTAGTGTAGGAATACTGTTTAAAATTGCCTTGAGTATTTCTTTAAATATGAGGTGAGAGATCATGAGATCATAATCATAAATACTAGTTGATTTATGAATATGATTATTGAAGAATTATCACATTATCAGCTATATAAATTATGCGCTTGAGTTATTCAGATATAAATTTTAGCAGTGACATATTTTGTTAGAAAATAGCTTTCTATAAAAACTAAACTGGGAAAATTTATTGTTGGTAGTATACATTTCTAACATACGGGTGATCTCGAAACTATGTGATGTTGCCAAACTCCAAGCAATTGAAAATAGTACATAGATTAAGAAAATATCTTGTTTCAAGAGAAATAATCTTAATCTAAGAAACTTATTTTAAAGACAACTGATTATCTTGCTTCATGAATTTCTTGTCTTAAATATGGTTATCTTGGCCTAAGGTTGTTCGGACATAAATATACTTATAAAGATCAAAAGCTAATTTTTTAATTTTTTGATATGTTATGAATTGCTATCACATACGTCTAAATTAATTTTTTTGTAATAGATCTGATGAAGGGTTATCGTTAAATAAATTATTAAAAAATTGAAAGGCCATAGGCCGATAAGTATAGTGAATCGGCCCCAGAAAGATATCTGGCTTATAATTTCAGGGTATGTTGGTACTTATAAGATAATTCGATACTGCAAGTTTCAGCTCTTCATCTAATACCGTTTTCGAGAAAATCGAAAAAAGCTGAAATTAAGAAAAAAATGATTTTCTCAGAAACCCGTGAGCCGATTGATTTGAATTTTTAATATGTTTTAGGGGATGATGGTAGCTTCTAGGAAAAAAATTATGAGCTATATTGGTTCATAAGAACCTCGAAAAAAATGACGTTTTTCTTTTAATTTTAATTTTTAACTATGATAGAGTTCTGGCACAATTATGAAACTATTTTTTTTGAATTCCTCATCCAATTTCCTGTGAAATTATGACTTTTACGAATATTAATAAATGGTACGCCGTGTTGAAAAAAAATAGAAAATCATTTTTTTATTAAAAAATCAAGTTATTTCAATGTTTTTATTCATTAAACACTAGTTATCGCTATCTTTCAGTCACACACACTTAATAATAACAAAAATAATAATAATAATAAGTCTTATAAGCAACTTATTACTATATACTTATTTCTATAAACACATAGAAAATACCCTATATCA